CGAGAAAAACAAACATGTTTGAATTTATCGTCACTGACGGACATCAATTAGCGATTTCAGTTCGGTTATCTGTTTATGTGTGAGACCGCTTATATAATCGTAAGTGTTTATTCCTGGGACAGTAAATAGCAGTTATTTTTTTCCAACATTCAAACTTGGCCCGGTATTTTTTAAGTTCGAAATAAAAGTCTTTCCGGATAGTAAACAAACCGCTTATCCAAATTAAAAAAATTTAGTACCAAATGAAAGAGGACTTAAATAGCTTTTAAACAGAAATAACGATCGAAGGCGACCACTTCTATTTAAATTTTTTTTTTTTATAAACTAATACAAAAGAAATGCATTTACCTGTCCCAAGGTTTGTTCTATGGTAATTAAAAAACATTTTTTATTTAAATATTTTTCAATAGCTGGCTTTCTGCTGGATTTTTTCGTTTAAATATTTCAGTTTTAAAGATATTTTAGTCCCCTTCAGTTGATACCAAACTTGTTTACTTTGAATAAGCGGTTTGTTTATTATTAGGAAAGGACTTTTATTTTCGACTTAAAAATATCTGGCTAAGTTTAGCTGTTAAAAAAAGGTAACTGTTATTTAAGGTCCTGGTTTATTCATATCGCCCGCATATAGCTATCGATATCGGCCGAGCACAATTCTGCCGATGCCGGCAGCAGTGTGCGCTTAGTGTAAAATTCGTATAGTCAAAATACCGTTCACAATTATTTGCTTTCGCGTATAATTATTGAAAGTTATAACAACTATCAGTTTTTTGTGTTCGCGTACGCAAAAACTTCCAAAGTAGGGGAAATTGAGAGAGCAAAATGACATTTAATTTTGAGGGAAAGCTGTTACTTTCTGCTGGAAAAATTTTAGCCAACAGCAATTTGCCAACAAGAAACCAACTGACTGGAATTTACGCAATTCCATAAATTAAATTTAATGGTTTGGAAGATAAAATAGTTAGATGCGACTAATTAAACTTGTAAGAAGTAAGTAATTATTCGTTTAGTCAGTGAACTGTCAGGCTAAGACTTCGGAATTAGTTTTCTTACGTTTTCAATTGCATACTTTTGAATGTAAACAAAATTTCTATCAGCTGTTCGTCTAACTTGCAAGTTTCTGCACATTTTCTGTTCGCGCACAGTTTTGGATATTTTTCTTTTGCGAGAGAACAGATGAAATTTTTTGCTGGATATTTTAAACGAGCATACCTATTGACTAACCAACATTTAACAGAACTGTTACGAACGGCTTCAACTGACGTAAAACCAGATTTTGAAAATTTGGCCAAAGGAATCTTTTCAATTTTCTTTAATATCTATCTTACGTACATTAGAATAATAATAAAATTAATGTTTTTCATTTCCAATAATAATTTTATTTAAAAATAAAACGTTTGCTTTTGTTGTTTTTTTTGTGGCTCTTTGAAGCATTTAGAATTTACATGTGGCTCTTTTCGGCCTCGGCCTTGCCCACCCTTGGTATATAAGTACATGGAGAAAAATTACCCAACACCGAGCCACCGAGTATCAAGCTCGAGTGGAAAGACCCTTTTGTGTTATTGCTTTAATAAAATAGTTTTATTTAGTTTTATAATTCATTTCAATTTCATGCCTTTTTACTCTTTTATTTTGCTCTAATTCTAGCATTTTAAGCTCCAAATGATTCTAGTTTTTTAAACTGAAGTTTTGGCCTCACCATTTCTAATTTTTGCTTCAATCTCTTTCGTCCATTAAAATTTTTCGATTTCTAATTTTAGCTGATTTTCTTGGAAATTAATTCGCTAATTTTCCATACTAGCCAGTTTATCAATTGAGGTGCTTTTGGATAAACGCTTAACTTTGGTTGCAAACGTGGTAGCTACAGATAAGGTGCTCGTTTCATCACTTGCCGGAAAGCGCTCGTCCTCTAACTCAGTCGCATCGAGTGTACTGCAATCGAAAACTTCGGTAGACGTGTGCATTACAACAACTTCAATTTCCGTGGTGTCGAAAAAATGTCGGAAACTTGGTCGAAATGTGGGCATTTTTTAAGCACTTTTTCTATACATAAAAAAAATTTGAAGCTAT